GGGCCCAGCACGCGGGTCTAAAGACCCAGCGTTCTCGCTTCAAGTGCCGGTTGCGAGGGGGCCTTCAGCTTTTGGCAGTACGGGGTGGAGGTCCTTGTGCTTGACCCTTACAAGGTCGCCCGCCTGTACGGTTTTGTTTCGTCGGATTTGGCGGTTGGGACTTGTGGTGGGCGAAGCTGCCGGCCAAAGTTTGTGATTCAGAGCTTTGGCTGTTCCCAGACGAGGTATGGGCCCAGGCTGGTCCTGCCGCGCAGCGGCGCGGTGGAGTCGCCGGTGTACCAGTGCCATTACCATTACCATTACCATTACCATTACCATGAACATTACCATTACCATTACCATTACCATTACCATTACCATTACCATTACCATTACCATTACCATTACCATTACCATTACCATTACCATTACCATTACCATTACCATTACCGTTACCGTTACCATTACCATTACCATTACCATTACCATTACCATTACCATTACCATTACCATTACCATTACCATTACCATTACCATTACCATTACCATTACCATTACCTCCTCCTCCTCCTCCTCCTCCTCTTCGTTCTCGTCGTCGTCCTCCTCCTCATCATCATCCTTCTCCTCCTCCTCCTCCTCCTTTTCCTCCTCCTCCTCCTCCTCCTCCTCCTCCTCTTCCTCCTCTTCGACGCAACCCAGGAGCGCAACAAGTCCTGTTACGCCCGGCGAAAGGGGAGGGGGGAGGGCGGAGCCAAGCGCCCAGCCCCGCGACCCCGACACCCCGCGACGGGACCCCCTAGAGTTGGGGCCGCACCCACCTGGCGGGCCACGAGAGGGGGAGAAGGATGACGACGAGAAGAGGCAAAAGAAGAGGCGCCAGGCTCACCACGTAAACCGCGATGAGCACCACCGACCCGCCAAAGGCGGGCGGCTTCCATGCCTCCCTGGCTCTACAAGCACCAGGGGACTCCGGTTACCCCACGTCACCGTGCGGGGCACACGGCGCGTGTTTCCGCGCATGGGTAACCTGGCCCGCCCCCACAGGCCCCCTTGCCCAAGGGGCGCCAGGCGGTACACGCTTTGAGCCGTGCCCGTAGGCCGACCCCCCCAGCCAGGCCCTTGCCCCGCGACGTCACGGGAGGGCCAATACAGTGGCAGGGGCTTGCCCCCACAAAGACAAAGGCAGGCACCCCGCAGGCCGACGCGGACCGAGATCCACGCTGGCCCAGGGGGGCTACCCTCGCGGCCCCAGAACGCCAGGTCTCCGAGGGACCTGAGACGGCAGACCCGTACCACAGCGGGACCACCACTAGAGTACGGGGTGGCCGCCCCAGGCCCGTCAGGGCACCGACGCCCCTGGCCCGCCGTGCCGCCCCTGCAGGCGACATCTTGGCGGATTTCAGTTCACACCCAGAGCCCCGACGTGTCCTCCTCCCCTAGTCCTCCTCCTCCTCCTCTTCCTCCTCCTCCTCCTCCTCCTCCTCGTCATCCTCCTCCTCTTCCTCCTCCTCCTCCTCCTCCTCATCCTCCTCCTCCTCCTCCTCCTCCTCCTCCTCCTCCTCCTCCTCCTCCTCTAGTCATCGTCATCGTCATCGTCATCATCATCATCATCATCATCATCATCATCATCATCATCATCATCATCATCATCATCATCATCATCATCGTCGTCGTCGTCGTCGTCATCATCATCAGCATCAGCATCAGCATCAGCATCATCATCATCATCATCATCGTCATCATCATCATCATCATCATCATCATCATCATCATCATCATCATCATCAGCATCGTCATCATCATCATTACCATCATCATCGCCATCATCATCAGCATCACCATTATCATCATCAGCACCATCATCAGCAGCATCATCATCATTATCATTATCATGATCATCAGTGCCCTCATCATCATCACCATAGTCATCATCAGCATCACCATCATCATCATAATCATCATCATCATCCTCATCATCCTCGTAATCAGCATCACCATCAGCATCAGCAGCATCATCATCCCGTCGCTCCTCACTCCGTAGCCGCGTTAGCTCAAGATGGTTTCTCATTCGCAGCGTTCCAATGAGGCCAACGATCCGCGGCAAGCGTTCTGCCGTCAGCAGCCGGCCTCACGGACGAGCTGCCGCCCTTCTGATAGCCACCTGCCTATGCGTGGGCAATTCCATATCGCGCGCCTTGGTCTTCGTATTCGAGCCACTTCCCTACCAAGTTTAAGGAGATCGGCTTCGGCGGTGAATTGTTTGACCTTCACGCTGTTGCCAAAGCCGCTCGCTCAGGTGCGTGCTTCGTTCGCCCGACTTCACGAGCGCTTGAGGAGCGAGGAAGATGAGTAATGTGTTGACTGGTGTATTCGGTTACGGTGTAAACCAATACGGTGTAAAGAAAGTGGAGCTACTGTTTGACCCTCCTTTATGGACGTCTTCGTTGGCCGAGGGTCCATGAAGGAGTCATCGGTCCCCTCCGAAGCCTAAGCGGCAGAGAGTGAAATGGTGTTTGGGACCCATACGGCCGCATGAACGACGTGGAACCTAATCGGGACCACGGCGCGGGCAGTAGGGATGACCCCGTGTTGGTGGGGCCCCGTTTGAACCGCGAGCACTCACGCGGAGCCTGTCAGAACCGTGGGTGGCTTGGGTACCCCCGGGGCGCCCAGTGGGCACGCGGCTGCCATGGAGCCTGACGGAACCATGGAACTCGCGTGTCCACGAGGGGAGGAGAGGGGGGCAGGAGGAGACGGGGAGGCAAGGTCGGCGGTCCGATGCACGACGTCGAGGGGGAAGAGGAAGAAGGAGGGAAGAAGAAGGAGGGGTTGATGTCGAGCATGCCTCTGCTAAATGATCTTGCGGTTGGAACCCCAACCCATCATTGTCACATATGCGTTGCCACTGGTATTTGAGTCACCCCCAGGACTCGACGCGTTCATGAAATGCATGGTCTCCCTAAACAGAACCTCGCCACACCCGCCCAAGGTATCCTTCTCTGCCGCGCTCATTACTTTCATTGTAAAGCCTGCGGCAGCCATATTAGTATGTGTCCGAGCTGTTGAAGATGTTACGAAGGCCTCATCGATGTATGCCGGAGTTGCACCAGCACGCATGTTTGAACATTACGTCGCGTAACACCACGTACAAATTTCAAATTGTTCCGTCTGGGTGTCTATACGATTGGTTCCCATGTTCTGTTGGCCTCGACCTCGACTGGATCAATCACAATTTGCATGTCACTTGTCCACGGCTCAAGAATTGATTTCAGGAAGGTATCGGGATGTTCTTTTTTACGGAAGACGTACTACTACGTTATATTTCCCCTGTTGAACAGCCCCGTCGGTTCCCCCGTCTCACTCCCTTTCATTTCTGAGCACACTGCCAAATTGTCTTGCGCGTGCTGCATGTTGCTACGCGTTACTACAACCCTTGACACACTTCAGTTTAACCAGTGAGTGACGCGTCACTTCGGTATCGCCCTCGTTCACCTGCTCCCCTTCAATGTCGAAGCACGCTGTTCAGGCGGGTGCAACTTGGAAGTTCCGCGATGACTGACATAGGAGAGGGGTGGCCAATCAGTAATTTTCGCGCAGTGCAATCCAAGCCCAGAACATCACATCGACAAGGAAAGTGCGTGGCACATTTCTGAGGTGAATGCTGCCGAGGGCTGTAGTTGTCCATGGTGATCGTCGTCTCTCTCGGCCGGGCTCTCCTTTGCAGCTCTTCGAGCTGCGCTTCAGAGTGCGTAACCGTCCGACGCCACCGTGCTTTGGCAGCGACCTGGTCGAGTCGGCCCATGCGGCCGTCCGAAGGCTCGCGGCACCTTTGATTTTGCCCGCTGGCGTGATTGCTGTGGCGCTGCCGCAGCATGCAGGCACGCCGAGGGGCAGTTGGTCCCTTGCCTCGCGCATCACCTTTCTGCCTCTCTCTCTCTCTATTTCTCTCTTGTTGTTTGCTCCCTCTCCCTCTCTGTTTTCAACTGGCGCAGTCGTGTGACTGCCGCACCTGCCGCACCACCTTCGCAACTGACGGGCGGTACGCGGGCGTGCGATCGCTAGCCAACGGCAGCTTGAACCGAGCAATGGTTGATGACGGACGGATCGGGAGAGGAGGGGGCCAGCGTAGGATGTCTAAGAAACATTTGCAGGTGGGAGCCACCCAGGACCGCCAGCACACAAAGCAGACGTGTTGGCGTAAGCTGGGCTTCAACTACTGCGATGTTGGTATCAGAGGTGCTGAGATCACCAACGGATGCCAGCGGCACGCTTGCGCTTCCTCTGAGGGCGACGCCGTCACCCAAAATGGCTTGCGAGCCCACAAAAAACGAGATCACCCCATGACCACTATCGTCCCCACAACCCATCATATTGACCATCACCACCTCGTCAACACCATAGCAGTCACCGTCTCATCACCATCACGACAATTCAACCACTATCGCTATGCCACAACCGCCATCATCACCAGCACAATCACCGTCACCACTGACACTTACTTGCACTTCGCCAGATTGGCCATAGTCAGAAACGTCACCTCATCACAAATGTCGCCGACAAGCATCAGCCCGTCGGTTCATCAACGACCACCACCATCACAGCCACCAGCAGCATCGGTGCCATTACCACCACCAGCATCGCCATCATCCCCGCCAACACCACTTCGTCATAATCGTCATCAGCACCATCACTTCGTGACTCCAACACAGAGTTCGTCCTCATCATCATCATCATCATCATCATCATCATCATCATCATCATCATCATCATCATCATCATCATCATCATCATGATCATCATCCCCCCGCCCCATCACCGTCTTCACCGCCATCACCGTGCCATCACCACAGCCATCACGGCCATCATCAACACCATGGCAATCTCTTCGCCGTCGTCATCTGCCCCACATCACCATGATCTTTATAACCACCCCCATCGCATTCGCCGTCGTTGTCAAAGAGTCCCTCAGCATGATGAAAGAGGCATTGGTGGCCCGGTCAGCTTACACCGCCCGCCTGCAGGGGGGCCCGACGGCATGCTCGACAGAGCCACCGCGGCTATCAAGCGGAGGCGTGAGGAGAGCGAGTTCGAAAGGCCCGAAGAGTTCAAGGACCGCGCCAGAAGGAGGGAGCGAGGGAGAAAGTAAAAGGGAGGAGCAGGGAGGAGGAGGAGGAGGAGGAGGAGGAGGAGGAGGAGGAGGAGATAGGAGGGGAGAGGGGGAGAAGAAGGAGGGAGGGGACGAGGGAAGAGGAGGAGGGGGAGGAGGAGAGGGAGAGAGAGAAAGATGAGGAGGAGGAGGAGGAGGAGCAGGAGGAGGAGGACGAGGACGAGGGTGCGAGGGGAGGACGACGACGAGAAGTAATAGAACGGGAGTAGCAGCGCCAGAGGTACCATCATCAGGTCAGCGCCAGTGGGCGTCTCCGTCGTCGGTGGTCGTCGCGATCGTCTTTGGAGGCCCCCCCAACACGTCTGGAAAATGCGGCCGCCGCTCTGGAGGTGCTTTCTGCTTACCAACGCATGCCTCTCAGGGGGTCTGCTGCACTCACCGGCGATGGCTGAACATGCTGCAGCCGCTGCGTGTGGCCAAGTAGCGGATCGCCCCACTTTTCTGGCCTTTGATTGCAAAGCTGTAGTTTTCCAGACCCAAAGGCCCTTCTGGAAACAGGTTGCTGGAACCGTCCAGTTTGGTGTTCGGCGGTTCGCCCATGAACTAACAGGCGCAAAGGCTTGTCCACCTTCCATGTGAAGGCCCATCGAAAGCTGGAGGTTCTCGAGGCCCTGGAGGGTGATGCGAGGCGTTTTGCTTTTGCGAATCTCTCGGTGGATGATCACGCAAAGAAGGCCCTTGAGGGACACCAGCGGCCTAACCCCAGTTGTTTGCAGCGTGTTGAGTTGTACCAGGATCGAACCAATGCTTTTGTGAATCTTGCGTCGGCAATTCTTCCGCTGTATAAGAACGGAGTCAGGTGGGCGAGAGCTCCGTTCTTCTCTTCCGGTCGCAGTCGGCAGAGTCGAAATTAGCATTTGTGGCGTCGATCAGAGTTAGGCATGCAATGCAGACAGTGTTGGATGGTGTGTGTGATCGACCCGATCGGCCAATCATTGGATGTCGTGGCCCGCCTCTTGCTCTCCAGAAGCTGCTGCGCGAACCCATGGGGCACCTCCTCGTCGCCGTGCCGGGTTCGGTTTTTGATGTTCCTCGGTTTGGGGCCCGCTGGGACCCGTGTCGCGAGCAGCTGATTCTGCGTTTGACATGTGGGGGCTGGAGCCAGGGGAGAACCGTGAAGCTCGCCGAGGTTAGCCAGAAGCCAACGCGTAAAGGATTGGGTGTCCCGAGCCGTTTTCGGCAAGGCCTTGGCCCGAACTTGAAGGTCCGCGAAGTGCTTGATACGGCGCTGCCTGCGGCACGATTTGGTTTCGAAACGGATGCTAGTTCGAGGTGCGGTCTGACTGTTACCTCATTGCCGCGAGCTTTCTCGGATGCTCCCTCAGCCCCCGACCATGAGCAGCGAATGGCGGCCTTGGTCGCCAGAATTGCAGCTAAAGAAGAGGCTGCGCGAGCCTCGAGGGCGATTTACTTCGGGTCGATCCCCCCCAGTGTTTTTGGTGCTGTCACCTCCCGACCTTTTTTCAGCCGTTGTCCATCCATTCATCCTCCTCCTCCTCCTCCTCCCCCTCCTCCTCCCTCCTCCCTCCTCCCATCACCATCATAACCAGCAGCACCAGCATCATCAGTATCAACACCATCATCACCATGGTAATCAATCATCATCATCATCCTCATCATCATCATCAGCATTACCACAACCACCACCAGTATTACCATTATCAGCATCATCGCCATCGTCATCGTCATCATTATCATCATGATCAGCATTACCACCACTCTTCATCGTTACCATCATCGTCATCATCATGACCGTCATCCTCACCGCCATCGTCATCAGCATCGCCGTCATCATCACTATCATCGCCAGGGCCCCACACGCAGCCCCATCGAAGGTCCCATTGGCGCAGTTTGCATGCTTCTCCACCACCCAGTACAGCGATTCGTGGCCCATAAGGAATCCACCCAAGGTCCCAGTGGCGCAGTTCGCATGCGCTTCCCCCTCCCAACACAACGCTGCGTGGACCCATTGTGAGCTCCACCGAAAGCCCCAGTGGCACAGCCTGCGTGCGTCCCCCCCACCCAGCACGGCGCTTCGTGGTTCCATAGGGGGCTCCACCGAAGGTCCCAGTGGCGCAGTTCGCACGCCCCCCCCCCCACACTCCACACACCCACCTACCCACCCACCCAATACAGCGCTTCGTGGCCACATAGGGAGCCCCACCGAAGACCCCAATGGCGCAACTCGCATGCGTTTCCCCCACCCAGTACAGCGCTTCGTGACCCCATCGATGGCCAAGAAGTATGACCTGCATCGTGATCTCAACGAGGTCATGTGGGTTTTCTGGGCAAACTCTTTTCCAGACTATGTCAAACAGCGGCACTGCCAGCGTGGCCGGAGTGCTTTCCCGTGGTGGAGTGGCAACGATGTCGCTACTGCGGGCAACAACATGAACCTCCAGCCTCATAGAGCCCGTGCGCTCCTACACGCTGACCGATACCACTGGTGGTTGCCATTCCCTGGCGGGGTCGTCACAGAAATACCAGAGCACGTCAAAGTGGACGTTTCGCGTTGCATCGAGGTCATGCATTGTTTCCGCTGCCCCACAGTTATGGGCCCTTGGAAGGCCCGTCAATGGAGCCCCCCGGATAAACTCGATGACCTCATAGGCGACATCGTCTCCGCTTTCACCGGCCGAGGCATCGCGGTCCTTCCAGCCGGACAGTGGATTGACACCCAGGACCGCCCATGCGATAACGCTTGGCATCCACTGAACACGGATCACAACCTTGCGCAGTTGACGCAGCAGTTCATGCACGTTGCCACTCTACGGAATCAGAGTGCGGTTCCTATGTCGTTGCCGACACAGTCTTTCCCATTCCGTCATCCTTTGATTCAGCAGGTCAATGATTTTCAGGGGTGCGCCCAGGCCGAGGAGAAGCGAGGAGCGCTCCGCATGCGCCTGGAACAGTCCACGCAGTACCAACGTCAACACGGTCTTGCTGGACTTCAACTGAAGGCCCTCGGAGAGCATGAGTTGGCTACGTGGACGAACCAGAGTTTCCAGGCCATGACAATCATCGGCTGTCGCCATTCCCGCACCCTCGCCAGTGGTGGCCCCTGCACTTGGGACATCCTCTGACGCTACGACCCCTCGGGCCCAGGCTCCTTTCCTGGCCCCCCAACGTCCGAGTGCGTCAACATCCGAGGACATGCCACCAGCATATACCAGGCTGTCTCTACTGCCAATGGCGAGGACTTGGATGGCAAAGCCGTTCCTTCCAAGGCGGAGTGGAGGTATTATTCTTCATGCGCGACCATATTCCCACGTTTCAACGGCCTGATCAACGACTCCCTACGGCAGAGGCATCGCGGTCGCCCCCTGAGCGGGACTTTCTCAAGACCTATCAGTCGCGTCACGCTGCCACGCGGCTGGTCTTCAAACATTTTATCGGCGAGATCAGATTGCAAGCCGCCGCGCGGGTAAGTGCAGAGACTGGATCCCTGGACCAGGCACGCGGTGTCAATGCTGACTACATCGACAAGCTCACAAAGTGGCGTCGCGAGCAAGCTGGTGCCCAGCTGGGCGCACCACCAGCTCCCGCCCCAGAGTCGCCACATACTCCTGCTGCCGTTTCCGCGGTCGCGCCGCCGCCCCCGCCTACGCGCCCCCCGCCGCCCGTGGACGTTGCTGCGGCGCGTGCGACATCGAAGCGGCCACCGCCCACGCCGCCTGCGCCACCTGCGCCGGTGGCAGCGCCCGAGCCCACGCCGCCTCAGCCGCTCCTGTAGGCTACCCCGAAGGAACCACTTGCGCCGCCACAGCGTCTGCCCGCGGCTCCCGCCGCGGATGTTGGTGCGTCGGTGGCGACGCCCGCAGGTGCCCCACCGTCTGTGGTATCCGTTCGGCCCGAGGAGACTTGGAAACTGAAAGTCATGGGCGCGCGCGACTGCTGCGCTCGTTCGCAACGCGAATGTGCAGATACCTTGGACATGTACAATGACTCCGTCACTCCCAGGGAGTGCAGCATCCCGCTGAAGATGCTCGACCCTTCCCCTGTGGCTCCCCATCCTCCACGCGGACTTGGAAAGCGCACGCCCGTATGCGGGCAGCCCGTATTACGAGGATTATGTCATCGAGCATGCTCCTGACTTACACGGCGATGGATGTTTTCCCGACGATGCATGGAGTCCATTCTGAAGTGCGAATGCTAAACAGTTGGGCATGAATCTTCTTACAGGCATCAGATTCTCTGGCCGCGACTTGGGGATTCAGAAATACTTCAGTAAGTCACTGTCTGCAGCTCTACGCCATGATAACAGCGGCACTAACGGCCTGCATCAATTCCTTGACGGTCGTCTCAACATTTGGACACGCCCTGGAGTTCAACGTTGGGCCGTGGAAGATCGCTGTCGACCCTTCCACGACATCGTGCCGGACATATTTGCGAGGAACAGCAATGGCCCCAATAGGGCGGCGATGCACTCCCACCTGCTCCAGGCACAACGGTTTGGACAGCCATGGCCGAGCGCGGACCAGTGCTGCGTCATCGCTGCCCTTCGCTTCCCACAGTTGCACGCTGATGATGAGAAGGCCCGTTTCCAGGTCTACGCGCGCCGCCCCGACCCGGATGATGCCGACTCAGATTTTGCATGGGATCAGGCACTGGCCATTCGGGCTACCGGCGGGCACAATGCTGTGCATAGTGACCAGGCCCTGGAACATGGGGTGGAAGCGACTCTCCCGGACAGCTGCGAAGCACTTACTTCGCGCTACATCCGCAAGTCTGGCATTGCGCAAGTCTGGCAAGTCCGGCAAGTCTGGCATCCGCAAGTCTGGCATTGCTCTTGGAGACGGAGCGGAACGTCAGACGCGGAAAGAAGTTTTCTTCAGTTCGTGTTCTTCTGTTTCCGGAGGTGCGCCACACCCGCGCACCGCGGTTATCGGTCACAAGTTCGAGCGCAAGAAGAAGCAGGTGGACATGGTCATAGACACGCATGC